GAGAGAGAGAGAGAGTGCACACGTGAACATGAGCGAGGGGGGCAGGGAGGGCGGTTAGAGGGAGGGGCAGGCAGAGGGAGAAGCAGACTCCCAGCCAAGCAGGGAGCCCAATGCGGGGCTGATCCCGGGAGCCCAGGATCATGACCTGAGCCGAAGGCAGATGTTTAACCGACTGAGCCACACTTTTGTGTAGGTGCCGCTACACAAAATATGTTTATAGTCAGGAAGTTTGGGTATAACAAGTTCTTGTAGCTTCTTTCATTTTTTGTCTTTGAGGAACCACCAATGAAAATCTTATTCCTTCAATAATTTTTTATCATTTGAAATTGTGTTATCATTCAATTTCTTCATAATCTATACTAGATTTACTAAAATTTCCTCATAAAATTTTTGAGTATTCAAGTACACAGCATTTTCATTTAATATTTTAGGTAAGATTATTGTTTTTAGAATGTAGCAAAACCAAAATAATAAAAAATTATAAAACCACTCATATAAAATGAGGTATTTTAATAATTTCATCTTTAATACTCACTTTATATTTTCCAAATAATGGGTGCCTTCCCCCTGTTATTAGCATATCATCTTCACGATCAAGAACAAGACGAATGGGATGACCAGTTCTAAAGAAAACAAATCTTAGATTCTCCACCCTTTCCACCCACCCATCCATCCATCTACCCATCTATCATCCGCCCACCCATTTATTCATCCCTCATTTAACTATCTACCCACCCATCCATCTATCTACCTTTCTACCCATCCATCCTACATCCATTTGCCCACCCATTTATCCAGCCATTCATTTAACCATCCATTCCCTGACTGCATACAATGAGCTGGGCACTGATATGCAACCATACTCTCTGAGCACATACAATGAGCTGGGCACTGATCCGAATTAACATGTGACCAAATTACTACTGTCGCTGTAGCCTATAACTCAATGGTTGGAGATCTAGCTAAAGCGATTAATGTCACATGCCAGTTAACTTGTGTTCTTTTTTTTTTTTTAAGATTTTATTTATTTATCTGTCAGAGAGAGAGAAACAGCACAAGCAGCAGGGGCAGCAGGCAGAGGGAGAAGCAGGCTCTCCGCTGAGCAGGGACCCCGATGTGGGACTCGATCCCAGGACCCTGGGATCATGACCTGAGCTGAAGGCAGACGCTTAATTGACTGAGCCACCCAGGCGTCCCTAACTTGCATTCTTATGGCTTCAGATTTGATGTTCACCCAGATCCAGCCGTTTTGCATATCCCCACCACTAGTTACAAAAGTGAAAGAGTGCAAATAGATAAATGCAAACTTAACAACACAACTGCAAAAACAAGGCCAAGTACTTGTCCTTAGCCTGCTGGGCTAGCATCTTCATTTCTACCCATGAATGCTACCCTGTTGGCCAAGTTGGGCCCTCAGTATTCGGAGCGTTAGCCTTTCTGTATCTCTAGGGCAGTGGTTCTGGACTCTTTGGAGTGCAAAAGAATCATCTGGTATTTTGGTGAAAATTCAGATTCCTGAGCCTTAGCACTAGGACTCTCATTCAATACATTGGGGAGGGGCCCTAGAACTGGCATTTTTCTCCGTGATTCTTATGCAGGTATTTTCAGGTACGTGTTGAAAACTCTAATTCTGGCACGAGGTTTCCTTTTTTTTTTTTTGCTTTTTTGTGTTTGTGTTTTTGTTTTTTTAATGGTGAAGACTACCTGGAGCATCAGTTAAATGTAAAGTTTCTGGGTCCACCCCCTGGTGATTCTGATTTGGTGGGTCTGGGATGGGGAGGCAGGGATTTCTATGAGCCTGGGAGAGTCTTATTATCAACAGTTTGGGAACCCTACTCTGGGAACTACTAAATGCATGCAGATGTGTGCTAAGGCAGGGTTGTAGCTTAAGGCGCTGGTTCCCACACTTGGCAGCACCGTGGCACCACTGGGGTAATTTCAAATATAGTGATGCCTGGATCTTTATGGGGCAGCCTAGGCACTGGGATTTAAGTGCTCCCTGGATGATTCAAATGTGCGGTAATGCTTGAATCGTCTTAAAGGCACAACGCCTAGTGGGAGCATGATGAACTGATTACCCCTTGCTGGGTTCTTGGTGGCTGTGAATAGAGAGGTTCATTACGGAAAGAACTAGAGATGGGATTCAGATCTTGTGATTTTCCACCTCTCATTGCAGAACAAGACACACATCTGAGTGCTTTGGGAGCTAGCTCTGAACTACACAGAGTTTGTCAAAGGAAGCAGGACCTTTGAACTTTGTGGGCTGACTGGGGCTCTGACATTACTTTGTTACTACCAAGAAACAGTCATAGAAAATGAGCAAGGATCTGAAAGGCTAGCAGCTGGAATAGCATAAACAGCAAAAGAGCAAGCTTTCTGGTTGAGGTTAGCCCGGGAACTTTCTTTGAGGATGTCATCTATCATTAAACTAACATTGAATAGCCAGCCCTTCCCAGGTGCAGAGAGGCAGAGGGTGGGAGCCTTTCTTTCCTCACTCCACCCTGTCTGCAGCTAGAGTAGGAAGGAAAAGTGGGGGAGGACCCACCCCCTTGGTGTTCCACTTGGGTAGGATGCTTGTCCCACCCCCAAATGGGTCACCTTCCTTGAAACTCAAGGACAGGGCAGCCTCAGCCTTGGAACTATTTAACTAATAATATCACTTTTCCTTTTTATAGCAAATTAGCCTATTTGAAGTCCTGTGTACATTCGATTTTTCAAATAACTCTAGGAGGGTGGGTACTCTATCTATAATTATAAAGAAAAAGAGACAGGAGCCTGAATTGCCCAAGGACACTCAGGTGGTTGTGACAGCAGTCCAAGTGACCCTCAGTGACTCACTGATTTACCCTTAGCTCTGTACATTTTATACCCTCCTATATCCCCTAGTGCACTTACTTGATAGCGCCCACAGCTGCAATAGCTCCAAATACGGCTGGTCTTCCTATTTTCCCACCAAAACCTCCACCCACCCGTTTGACGTGACAGGTGATCCTATTGATGGGGATGTTTAAAGTAAAGGACACTGTTTTCTGTAAAAGTTAGATAATGGAAAAGTTTTCCAAGAAATGGCAAAGAAGCCTTTTGTTTTCTGAAACAACATCATAGCAATATTCATCCATACCTACTATCAGAAAAACAACAACAAAAAAAACTAAGATAGTCTAAATCTGTCTTGCAAGCTCTATTGAGTTCATAAACATCGTTAATCTTACAGAATAGCCTTTCCAGCAGAAAAATGGTATTTTCCAGAAGGGAAACTGTCTGAGTCCTAGATTCCTGTCAGAAGCTGGAATCATAGCCAAATGCCTAGACCTGAAGTCCCAACAAGGTGAAAATCAGCAAACTCAGGACAACTTGCTAAAGAAGATGTTTGCAGCTAAACCCTAGGGCACTTTGCAACTGGGAAATGAAAATGTGCTACAAAGTGATGTGTTCACTCCAAAGGTTATCTGTAATGATTATTTTGGAAAAAAACCACGTACGGGATATTATTTAGTGTTGTTATCCAATCATAGAGCTCATTTAAGCATGCTGCAAATGAATGCTCTCTTTAAATCTCAAGTGACTGTGGCTGTTCTTTTTTTAAAATTTGATTTAATTTATTTTATTTAATTTTAATTCCAGTATATAGTTAGCATACATATTATATTAGTTTCAGGTGTACAATATGGTGAGTCAACAATTCTCTACATTACTCAGTGCTCATCATGATAAGTGTACTCTTAATCTCCTTCACCTCGACTGTTCTTTTATTTACTTGACAAGACCAGACAAAATAAAAGTGTTCTGGTATCTTAGCTGCTCCACTGGGGTCTAGTACCTGGACATCAAGTTTCTACAGGTAAAACGGCTGCCAACTGTGAGGCTGTGGGCATCAAAGGCCATGATGGAATTAGGAATTTGGGAAGGTAAAGGCGATCCTGGGCCTTACCTGCACGTGGGCTGGATCCTGTGTTGACACATAAATGTCCAGTTCTTCGTCCTCTGCCTTCGGAATAACAAGCACACTTTGTGTTTCCATGTAAAAATGTTCCTGTCCTCCAACATGGACCTCTCCTGTTAAGTGCAAGATAGGGAAATTCTTGTTAAGTGCAAGATAGGGAAATTCTTGAAAGCATGTGCTAGTTGGAAACTACTATGTTGAGGAATTCAAAAGCAAGTAAGATGTGGACTGACCAGTCTGGATTTGTTCAGACCAAGGAACTGATGGATCAGGCATTTGTCCTGTGGCAACAGAGGGCAATCTGTTTCTGAGACTACAGTTTTGGATAACAAGTTCAAAGTGTCTGGTTCTATTCCTCTGTCCTTGACTAATCAAAGTGCTAGGGATTTTTCTTCTATATATTCTGTTGCTCCCCACCCCCCACCTCTAAAGGCAACACACACACACACACACACTCTCTCTCTCTCTCTCTCTCACACACACACATAATCTGAGAGGAAGAGCTATAAGAGAAATTTGTCAAAGTTCTGAGTCTTTAGAGGATACCCTTTCTGAGAGAAAATCACATGTTCTCAGTATCTGCTTTGAAATAGAAATTGTGCAAAGATTCTATTAAATATCCTGAATCACTTACCTTCAATAATTTGATCAGCTTTTTCAAATGCCTCCTCAACGTTTCCTTGTTCAAGTTTTTTTTCAGGGCATAGGAATGAGTTGTGCTTTATGGCATCCTAAATGATAGGAAAAAAACACACAAGCCAATCAAAAATTTTTTTTCGGGCGCCTGGGTGGCTCAGTTGGTTAAGCGACTGCCTTCGGCTCAGGTCATGATCCTGGAGTCCCTGGATC